GCCGAAAATAAACTTTTCTTTCGGAATATGTTCTACATAATTTCGAATTTTCGTCTTAATTCATAGAAAAGAGAGACAGAGATAGACAGAAACAAAGGTTATTATATAACTATAGTTTAACTATCTTCATATAACAAAAGAAAGAGAATAAATAATCGGGAAAGAAAGAGAGAGAGAGAGGGAGAGAAAAGATACGTCCTTACTGAAATTTATTCGTAGTTAACATGTTTTTATTTCATTGTATATTTTAGAAAGAAATAGTGCGTGTGTGTGTGAGTGCATTTGTAATCACAGTATTTTTCCTATTTCATACTATATATATCCGTTTACATAAAATTTAATATGGAAACAGTTCTTGGTCGCGGTTATTCAATCAATGATGAAACTGGTTTAACAGATTTCTATTCACCACCATCAAGTATTGTTGATGAAGATGAAGAACAAGATGATGATGAGGAGGAGGATGATGATTTATTCTATCCAGAAGAAATCGAACCTTTATTTACTGCTGAAACAATTAATAATACGACTCTTTCTTCTTCATCTATTGACGAAATAAATGATATGAATTTAAGTAAAGTGAAATAAATATTTTATTTTTTTATAAATTAATTCTTTTTGAATTTATAGAAAATGGATTAAAATCATTACCATTAAAATTAATGTCTATTGAGGCAACACCACCGCCAACACCGCTTATTCCACGACGTTTACTCGATCCTATAAATACGACAACAACGGCTTTTCAAAATATGACATTTAATACAACATTACCAATAACACCAACAAGAAGTACTGATATAACAACATCAAATTGGTCATTAAATACATCATCAACAAGTTCATTATTTCCATGTAATACGGATACTCTATCGAAAACAACAAATTTATTGACACCAACAAGTATGGATCGATATCTTGCTGAACATCGACCTCTTACTGATTCAGTATATAAATCATCAATAAGTAAATATTTAGAATTTATTTATTTATTTATTATTCATCTTCTATTTAAAGCACTTGGTACAACAACAAATAGACATCATTCGATTTCTGTTCAACATACTGAAGTAACGAATGGTTTGTACAAAAAATAATCACTTGAAATTACAAAATTAATTGAATCGATTATTTTGTTTTTCTAGAAACAAGTCGATTATATTCTTATATGGCTCCTGCTGATGGTATATCATCAAATCTTCGAGCAGGATCTAATACATGGTCACCATTTGAT